ATATGTTAACTCTAGGTTTTTTAAGGAACCTCCGTACTGTTTTCCACAGTGGCTGCACCAACTTACATTCCCACCAACAGTGTAGGAGGGTCTCCTTTTCTCCATAGCCTCTCCAGCATTTATCGTTAGTGGACTTTTCAACGATGGCCATTCTAACTGGTGTGAGGTGATAGCTCATTGTAGTTTTGAGTTGTATTTCTCTAATAATTAATGATGTTGAGAATCTTTTTATGTGCCTGTTGGCCATCTGTATATCTTCTTTGGAGAAATATCTATTTAGTCTTCTGCCCAGTTTTTGATTGGGTTGTTTGTTTTTCTGATATTAAGCTGCATGACCTTGTTGTATATTTTGGAAACTAATCTGTAGTCAGACGCATCATTTGTATGTATGTTCTCCCAGTTTGTAGGTTGTCGTTTCATTTTGTTTATGGTTTCCTGTGCTGTTTAAAAGCTTGTAAGTTTGATTAGGTCCCATTTGTGTATTTTTGCTTTCATTTCTTTTGCCTTGGGAGACTGACCTATGAAAACATTGCTACAATTTACGTCAGAAAATGTTTTGCCTCTGTTCTCTTCTAGGCATTTTATTATATTTTGTCTTATATTTGTCTTTAAGGCATTTTGAGTTTGTTTTTGTGTATGGTGTGAGGGAGTATAAACTTGTAATCTATTTTATGTATATTAGTATTTGCAAATCTAGAACTCCCAATTTATCCATTCCCACCCTTTTCCCCTCCTGGTAACCATAAGTTTGTTTCTATGTCTGTGAGTCTGTTTCTTCTCTGATTATTAATATTGAATTGAGCACCTTTTCATGTATCTATCAACCATATATATGTCCTTTTTGGAAAAAATGTCGATTCATATTATCTGCCCATTTTTAATTGAATTTTTTTATATTGAGTTGTATAAATTCTTTATATATTTTATTAACCCATTATCAGATACATGATTTGTAAATATTTTAGTGGTTGATTCTGGGCTTAACATACATCTTACCTTATCAGGAACAGCTTCTGATTTATACTAAATTCCAGTGATACATAGAAATGTTACTCCTATATAACCCTACTTCCTTTCACCCCTTTTTGTGGTAATACTGTTATTCACATTACCTGTATTAATGTTTCAAACCCTATCATTTGTTGTTGTAATTTTTATAAGATTCTCCATGAAAAAAGGAAAACTTGTGTACATCTATTGCTTTTGTTATAGTAATCCTATTTATCACTTTTTATTCTCTTTATTTGACCCTGTGGATTCAAATTACCATCTGGATTCACTTCCTTAGCCCAGGGCAGCTTTTCTTCTACCCACCTCCTTTGTGTTATTATTGTCAAAAATATTACATTTATATATGTTACAGGCCCTATGATAATTTTATGTTATATATATAATTACTTCATACAGTTGATCTTTAAGTCCGTTAAGTGAAGGAGAAGAAATATGCATATATACCGTCTTTTAAAATTACATAATGACCTGTATTAGTGCTCTTGGTTTTTTCCTATGGATGTTTTGCTGCCTGGGATCACTTGCTTTCAGTCTGAAGAATTCCCTTGAGTATTTCTTTAAGACTGTACTGCTAGCAGTTCTTTACCTGGTTATGTTTTTATTTCATCTTCATTTTTTAAAAACAGCTTTGTTGGATATAGGACTCTTGGTTGAAAGTGCTTTGAGTACTTCGTATGTATCATCCCATTACTTTCTGGTCTCCCATTATTTCTGATGAGATGTCATCAGTTAACCTGATTGGGGGTTCACTTGTAAGGGACAACTCACTCTCCTTTTGCTGCTTTCAACATTCTCTCCTTTTGCATTTCACCATTTTTGTCATGATTTGTCTAGATGTAGATCTCTATGCATTTAACTATTTGATGCTTTTTAAGCTTCCTGGATCCATTACTTATTGGAATATGTTAAAATGATCCTTTCCTCTTTTCTGTTACACCTGTTATGTACGTGAATATTGGTATGCTTAATGGTGTCCAACATTTCTCTGAAGCTCTGTTCATTTTTCTTCCTTTTTTTCCCTTTGTTCTTCACACTGCATGATCTCTATCAAGAGATCTTTAACTTGGCTAGTTCACATCTAGTGCTGAGTTACTCTAGTGAAATTTTCATTTCAGTTATACTTTTCATCTGGTGATAGTAAATAACTTCTGTCTCTTCATTGATATTCTCTACTTGATATGACCTTGTGATCATACCTTCATTTACTTTAAGCATGGATTCTTTTGTTTATTTGAACATACTTATAATGGCTACTTTGAAGCCCTTGTTTAAATCTGGTTGCTGTCACAGGCAGTTTCTATTCTTTTTGGTTTCTTTTGGCTTGGTTTATGGGTCATATCTTCCTATTTCTTCACCTGCCTCTTGTTTCTGGAAAATATACATTTTAGATAATTGTTACAACTCTAGTACTTTCATCTACTCGCCAGGTTTCTTATTTTTATTTGCTTGTTTGTTTAGTGACTGACTAGATTAATTAAGTGAAGTCTGCCTCCCCCATAGTGTAAATATCTGACACTGCTGCTGGAATATAGCCAGTGGTTTTGACAGGGCTACCTCTGACCACACCAAGCTGTTAAGATCCACTAATTTTGACTACTAGCACTGTTATTTTGAGGTGTACATTGCTTCACAGACTAATGGAATCAAGTCAGTGTTAGAGATTTGTTCTGGTAACAGGAAGGGCCCCCCAAGTGTCTTTCTTTGATCCTTTCTGGCAAACTAGCCAGCCTACAGTTTAGCATTTATCTCCAATGAATTTTCCCATCTTCTCTCAATAGCCTTTCACCAAAACTTCCTTACCCTTGACTTCTCTGCACTTTGCTGCAAATGAAGGCAGTTCCTTCGGACAGGGATGCAGAGGAGGTTGTGCAGCAGCCCCAGGCCTCAGCTTGCCTGTCTTGGCAGGAACTCCCGCCCCGTGAGCCAAAGCAAAGGCAGTGGGGACCCCAGTGTTCCCAGCAGTGCCGCACCCAGTGTCCAGCCTACATTTCTTGTGTGGCTGCCAGGCAGGAGAAAGTCCCCATCCCTTAGCTGCATTTGCCTGAGCAACAAGTAAGTGGGGACAGGGTGAGAAGTGCTGGGAGCAGGGGTCGAGGAGTGATGAGGAAGTTTGTGTCCTTTGCTGTACCAGTTTGGAATGGACTTCTTTTTTTTGTTTCCCGACTCCACTGAGATGGGATAGACAAGGAGGGGTGCAGTTTGATTCAGATACTGCAGACTTTCACAGTTCTTAATAAATTTTACTAGGTTTTCTTGAACAGATGTTTCTTAATTTCCTCTATGTTTTTATACATAATTTCCACCAGTTTCAATGGGGAGCATGTCCGTGGAGCTCCTCGTGCTGTCACACCAGAAGTGGAATTCCCTGACCAATTCTTTACAGTTCTAACCATGGACCACGTAAGTTGATGTTTCTGTCTCCATTGTGAACATTTATCTGTGTCTTCCAACCAAGTAGCCCTTACAGCCTGCCCCACATCCCCAGTTTTTCACTTTCTAGTGAGAGCTGGAGTCTAACAGCACAGTGTACCTCCTGTATGCCTATATATTCTCCAAATAATGTTCAACACTCTTTAGTGTTGAGTCTTTTTTTCAGAGCAGCTCTAGAGTAGAAATGGAACCCCTAAATTGAGGTATTTACCATCCTTCTTCATATTCTTGGGTAGAGAAAACGTGCAAATGGATCCATTTGATGACATGGGCAAACTCTGTACTTCTCCTGAACAGACCTGATTTTCCAGGTTGATTGGATTTGATGTTGACTGGTCTTAGTCATAGATAGATGACTGTAGACTTCCAGAAGTGGAGAAGATCTTATCCAGCCTAATGTCTAAATATAATTAAGGCTGATATATTATCACCAAGCAGTCTACTTGGTAGCCACTAAAAAGCATTTACTAAATAATTTTTCATTAGAAGTTGTAATTCTTATCATATAATGTGAAATGGAGATTAACAGGGATGAACTTGGCATTCTAAGAAATTTTAGAATATTTCAATATCCCATTTTCTAAGTTAGATATTTTTCCTGTACAGAGGAATGAGAATGTAGAAATTCGCCATATTTGATAATTCATGCAGTAGGCACACAGCATGCAATGTGCATGTAGACAGTTTCTTTTAATTTGCATCTTATTTGCAGACATGCTTAGCTAATTAAGAAATCTCATAGTATGCAGGAAGGTTTCTCTGAATCAAAAGGATTCTTTAAAAACCTATCAATAATCTGATTTGGAAGCACTAATTTCCTTACTTCCCATACCACAGGCTTCAACCCCAGGCCTATTTATTTATTATTAGACCCCTTCCTGTAATGCAGCTCTTTATTTCTTGTTTTTTTTTCTCAGAAATGTTTCCTTCAATTTTACTTATAATATATGGTTTGTTTCAGGAATTGGTGACATTCAGGGATGTGGTCATCAGCTTCTCTCAGGAGGAGTGGGAATATCTGGATTCTGCTCAGAGGGACTTGTACTGGGATGTGATGATGGAAAATTACAGCAACTTGGTCTCACTGGGTAAATTTAGCTTTTCACGTAACTTAGAATATGTTCTATAGAGTTATCAGTTGATATTCAATGAACTCAAAGCTATTTTTAAAGAAAATTGATGAATTTCTCCTCCCAGCTTCCAAAGGCATGGATTGAGCCTTGTATTGGAGGTGATACCTCCATTAAGCATCTTTACCATTCTTCATGGTGTCCATGCCTTCTCAGTCCCTTCATGTAATTTCTACCTTCCTTGATACAAGGGAGCTGGATTTGACTTGTAGGATACACACAGTGGATCCTTTGACACGTCTACTATATTGTGTTTGAGCCTAGAATTGCTATAAATACTTTGTTACTTTCTTACCCACCTTCTGGGAGAACAGCTAAGAGACTGTGTCCTGATGTAAAGGAATCTGTATACTTTATGCGGTTAGATTGGTAAATAGAATTCATATCCATTGCCTGCCACAAGTATTGTCTTACACCTGCTGTGTGGTTAAATAACTTTGCATTTAACGTTTAAGTCAGTATTCCAGCAAGAACCTTTTAATATTTTAGAAAGCTGCTTGTTTTCCTCTCAGCTCACATAGTTCTTGCCTTGTACCAGACCCTCTTTGAAGCAATTTTGATGTACTGAGTCATCTAATTCTTCAACTCTAGGACACAAATCCTACTTGTTCTGTTGTTCTTAGAAGAGACGGCTGAGGCAAAGGGTACTCAGGCAACTTCTCCCAGGTCACATAGCCACTTAGTGTCACAGCAGGTTTTCTTACCCAAGCAGTTTGGCACCAACCCTGGTATTCTTAACTGTTACAACGTACTGCCTCTCAAGACAGAGTTGGCATGGGAATAAATAAAATAAGACACTTCTTTACCCGTCTAGCCTTCTAGTCTCTTTATACTTTGTAATTCTGTGGTCACTCTAAAGTCAGTGTTCTTTCAGTCTTATTTCTCTTCTTGGAAGTCTTATTAATATCACTTCAACTTCATTTATTAAAAACTTGACCTATTCTCAAAGGTGTTTTTAGAATTGGCTATAATTCTTACATTTTCTTATACCTTATTTTACATTTCTTTGTTGTAAGCAGAGTGTTGCATTTCTAAGTCAGTTGTGATCACCCTACTGGAGGAAGGGAAGTTGCTCTGGAGGGTTGCAAGGGATATGACAGGTACACAGAGCCAGGTGAGTGACGGCTTGATGAAGCAAGGAAAGCCATCACCAGAGTAAAAAGCCCAGCTTATCGGGAGGGGGGACCTCTGTGAAGTTTTGGGGAAACTCCCTTTAAAGCACTATGGAAAAATTGCCTGACACTTGGGGAAGCAAATTAAGATCTTCCCCAGTTCAACCAACACTTCCCCCAGTTCCTCTTGTATTTAGACTTAAGTAAATGTCTTTATTGACCAAGAGATCTTGGTCATTTATATACTCAACATTTAATTAGTGCCTACACTGAGACAGATATTGTGCTAATAAGCCTATTACTACAATGGTGAGGGAGACCAATACAGACCTTACTGTCAGAGAGTTAACATAGTGGTGACATACATAATAGTTAAATAAATGATTAGAGAATTTATCATATATCACCTGATATGTGCTATGAAGAAAAGTAAGCAAAATAAAGGGATAAAGAATGATGGAGAAATAACTAATTCAGATATTATGGTCAGAAAGGGATCTCTGTGGTCTTAGTCTGGCATTCTATGGATATACAGTTCCTTATCAACAATTCACCTAATGACTTTTACAAGTGAAAATCTTCATTTGAATCCATGTTTTTCTAATCATTCCTTGAACATTTCTTAGTTACACCCATGCTCTTTGATAAACTTGAAATCTAGTGGGAAAGGCGGCAAGAGTGTTTGATTCTGTTCTTTGTATGATTATAACTAAAGAGCCACCTCAAATGGTACACTTGAACTCTTCTGACCTCCTCTTACTTATGTGTCATTATGTATTTGTTTATTTTCATTGGTTCAGTGTACTTTTAGCCCACCACAGCCTTTGATTGTTGATGCCTGTTTGTATTGAGTAATTCCTAATGGTGATTTTTATGTACCTTTGATGTTGATCCTTTACCCTTTGAGTTTATTTTTGCTTTTTGAAGCATCCCCAGGCTCACCCTGTACTTTCCCTATCCCAAACCAGACACCTGACTTGGTTAAAAGTGAGTTCTGGTCTTCTATGTTCCTATGTGTTTTGTTATTTTTAAAAAAATTTAACACTAGCTACAAATTTTATTTAGTCATTTACTTAGCATGTTTTAGTGCACAAAGTATTTTTTCCCCCTTTTGATTCTTGGATTGTCAAAACGGTGGTCTCTTCAAGTGATTTCTGTGTCCTTTTGGCATGACCCATTAATGTCATAGAACTTTCTTGCTTTCTGTCACAACAATCAAGGGCACGTCTTCCACCTTCCCTGCTCCAGGTCTTGACTCAGACCTTTACTTTAGGAATATTATTACTTACTTTTTATTTTAGGTTCATTACCTGGTTCATTGCCACAACCTGGGAAATAGTCATGCTTATGATGTTTTTGGTTTCATGGGAGGTATTTGACAGTTTTATCTCTTTCTAACAAATTGGTCTTTTTTCAATTTTTATGGCTTCTGGAGTTTTCAATATTTATTTATCTAGAAAATAACTCATAAGTCAACATTTTTCAAATTGATTAGTATAGGAGTCTTATTACATTTTAAAAATACCCTCTGTGATGGTTCTTGCCCTTGTTCATCACCTTAGTTTTTATATTTATTAATTATATTCTTTATATGTTTTCTAACTTAACACATTCTGATTGTGTATCTAGTGAATCCTCCCCTCACCTTTTCTTTAGGTCACTTTGTTCTTTTCTATCTTCTTGAGTGGGATGTATACATTGGTTGTTTTCATTCTTTCATTTTATTAATATAAGCATTTACATCCTTAACTTTTTATGTAACTATTGTTGAGTTCCATAGATTTTAACATGTAATATTTTCAATACCGTCATTCTCCGAAAGTTTTATAATTTCATTTCCAATAAACAGTTATTTGGTAGAAAGCGTCTTCATTTCTAAGTGGAAGGGCTTTTAATTTACTGACACTGGCATTCGTTTATGATTTTATTATTTTAGTCAAATAATCATGTTTATATTATTTCACTTTTATTACACATAATTCAGTCACATGAAATTATTTTTGCCCTTTATCATGGAGTGTTTATCAGCCACTTTAGATTTTCCTCGGTTTGTCCCCTCATCTGATTTGCAGTCTCCAGCCAGGTCCAACAGATCCATTGTTACAAAATGCCTTACACTTTTGTCCACCTTGACCACTTTTTGCGTATCATTCTATTAGCATATTCTACTTTTCAGCACAGCTTTGTTCAGAATTGCATAAGCCTTATAATATGGTATATGCTTATTATAATATCTAAAATAGTCTGATACTTTTTCAGGAAATATAACAGTGATTAGTTTTGAGTACAGGAGAACTGAAAAGTCTATTGGGGAAAAAGCATGAAGGAAAACATTAAATATAGACTAGGATTTCAGTAGGATAGATGAATAATAGTGAAAATGCTACTGAAGAGAAGTAAATAAAAACACTATCTTTACTGACATGTGGGATAAAGAAAATCATGGTTCTGTATGAGAGGGAATTAAGAGCAGTGATGGAGACAATATGCGCTAAATGGAGAGGCAACTGGAAAGCAATCATTTATAAACACTCACTATTCTTATATATGAATGTATCTTACTATATTATAAATTATATATATATAATCACTTTATTACACTGTGAAGTTTTGAAGGTGTGGAGACATGCTCTAACTGTTGCATTATTCTTACAGTTACATAATTATTTTGATAACTGTATTCTCAAATGACTTGTATTTGTAGTACCTGCTTTTGTTCTTAGAATCCTTTCAACCAGTGATTTACTTTTCCTTTAATTATCAGCTACTATGACCGTGGGGCTTGCTACTCAGTGGCACATAAAAGAATGATTTGTCCTTTTAAAGTTTAAGGAATGAGGAAATGAACAGTATGACAACAGAGAAAATTACTGAGTACACGATTTAAAAAATGGGTATGAGGGCAAGGAACTAGATACTGGAATAGAGACACAGATATGAAGTTACTCAGTCAGCTAGGACATCATTTCTGAGGGTAATAACTTTTAAACCTGGACAATGAAAGGAGGTGATGTAAAAGGAATCCATTTCTGAGAAATGGAACATCCTGTGGGCAGCTCTGGATAATAGGAAATGTGATTTGATACAGGAGGTGAAAAAAAGATTAGGTGAAGGGGGATAATGGATTAAAATGTTGTCTGACAAGCAGCACCCACCTGTTATCCATGGTAAAGTAGTTGGATTCTGTTGTAACAGAACAGAAGAAAAATATCAGAAAATTGCTAGTATCTATAGATGATCGAATTTTGATCTGCATTTGCAGTATCTCTATGAGGTACTGATGACTAATTTTGCATTTATAGGTGTTCATTCAGTTTATCTGGATTAGTTTATGAACATCAGTACTTGACAGGCTTACTAGGTGATGATCAACACATCAGTTTCAGGCCCAGTGACTTATTAATCTGCTTTCATTATCACAAACCTCACAATCTTATATCATGCTCTTACTCGCTGAGCTCACTTTACATTTCTTGAAATTTGATAGCAGTATTTTAATCATTCACTTATATTATAAACTATTTTCAGTTTTTCTCCTGTGCATTTTATAACTTTTATTTTTGTGATGCATGAAAAAAGAAAAGTTTTTTTACCTTTCAGATTTGGAGTCCAAGTACGACCCAAAGACTTTACCTATAGAGAAGGACATTATTGAAAAAAATGATTCTCAGTGGGAAGTAATAGAAAGTAGTACATCAGTTGGCCTTGAGAACTCCATTTTCAGAATTGATCAGCAAAGCAAAAGGAAGATTGAAGTACAAAGACCTGAAGTGGGATATTTCAGTCAAATGAAAGTCACCTCTGAAAAAGTGCCCAAGTATAAAAATAATACTTCTCTTACATTACATCAAAGAATCCATGACAGGGAGAAGCCCTCTGAATTTAAGGACTATGGCAAGGTCTTCAGTTGTGACTTAAACCTTGATGAGTATGAGAAAATACATGCTGCTGAGACCTATGAGTGTAGTAGATACTGGAAAACCATTGGAGTAGATGACTCACATGCCCTACAACTGAATATTCATACTGCTGTGAAACCTTGTAAATATATGGAATGTGGGAATGCATTTAGTTTTTATGAAGACCTTAATGTACACCAGAATATCCATGATGATCAGCAGTGCTACAGATGTAAGGAATATGGAAGGACTTTCAGAAAATTTGAAGAAATTACTCCACTTCACAGGATTTATGATGGTGAGAAGCCCTATGAATGCACTTTCTGTGGGAAATCTTTTAGAGTGCATGCACAACTTACTAGACATCAGAAAATCCATTCTGATGAGAAACCTTATAAATGTATGGAATGTGGCAAGGACTTCAGATTTCATTCACAGCTAACTGAACATCAGAGAATTCATACTGGTGAGAAACCATACAAATGTGTACAATGTGAGAAGGTCTTTAGAATTAGTTCACAGCTTATTGAACATCAGAGAATTCATACAGGTGAGAAACCTTACACATGTAGAGAATGTGGGAAGACTTTTGGAGTCTGTAGAGAACTTGCTCGACATCAGAGAATTCATACCGGTAAGAAACCCTATCAATGCAAGGCATGTGGAAAGGTCTTTAGAAATAGTTCATCCCTGACTAGACATCAGAGAATTCACACTGGTGAGAAGCCCTATAAATGTAAGGAATGTGGGAAAGCTTTTGGAGTAGGTAGTGAACTTACTCGACATCAGAGAATTCACAGTGGTCAGAAACCTTACGAGTGTAAAGAGTGTGGGAAGTTCTTTAGACTTACTTCAGCTCTTATTCAGCATCAGAGAATTCATAGTGGTGAGAAGCCATATGAATGTAAGGTATGTGGGAAGGCCTTTAGGCACAGCTCTGCGCTTACAGAACATCAGAGAATTCACACTGGAGAGAAACCTTATGAATGCAAGGCATGTGGAAAGGCCTTTAGACATAGTTCTTCCTTTACAAAACATCAGAAAATTCATACTGGTAAGAAACCCTATGAATGTAAGGAGTGTGGGAAGGCTTTTAGTGTGGCCAGGCACCTTACTTGATATTAAACAAGTTATACTGATGAGAAGTAAAGGTCTTTTGTTTCTGAGTTTCACTGGGAAAAAACCTGTGCATTCAATAAGAAGCAATCAAGGAGATTCACTGTCTCTCATTAAATCTGTTTCCAGGCTATATGGCCACTCTAGAAGTAGAATTGTTCATTCATAGGAATAAATACTTTCACCTTTGTTTCGATATCACCAAATATTTCTCCTTTTTATATCAATTAACATTCTGAACATCCATTTATGTAGGATGGTCCCTATTAATCCATTTCTTAAATTTGTGGGAAATGTATTTCCTAACTATTAAGTGAGTTATTGTCACATGAGTTTCTTGCCCAGGGATGTTTTGCTTGTAATTACTTTTGGTGTTCGTGTTTTTGCTCCTTTGTCTATTCATTGTTTGGGACTTACGATTGCTAATATCACACAAATACATCTTTACAATTTTTTGCTTGTAATACATGGCATATTTTTCTTTAGAGAGTTAGAACTCCCAGTCAGCTACTATGTGGTTTTAAAGTCTGTGGCCCTGCATGGTGTTTGTGTAGATTTGTTTGTTTGTTTTCTATTGATTGTTCTAATGGTTGTCATAAAATATTTGAATTATTTTTGAATTTCTATTTTGTTTTTACACAACAGATTTCTCTAAATACCTACTGAAACACAATTCCTTTTGAGTAGCCTTTTTCACCTCTAGGCAGTATCAACTGGAATTCAAATAAAATGAGCACTTAAATATTTCATAAAATATTTGAATACAATCTTATCAGCCTCTTAAATTTGTTAAGCAGCTTTAAAGGAGGAGGAAATCTACAACTACTGCAATGACCATAAACTGATCACTGAACTTACAGTAAGAGTGTTTACAACTCTATTATTACCACGGCTTCAATTGGGTTTTGTATCTCAGTGTTGTCTGTGTTTTAGCAGCTTAATAATCAGTAAATCTTTGGTTTTAGTAAACTCACCTGATTCGAGGGAAAAACAAGAAGAGGAAGAAGAAAATGAGACAGTCAATAAGGCTGCAAATCTTAGCTGCCTATCAGCTCTTTCTTAGGACAGTTGGCCTAGTTATTTAATCAATGTGATCACAAGCCACTGGTTATTATATTTTTATAAGAAAATTTACCTATTATAGTTAGATACATTTATGTTACCATCATTCATTAGATTTTAATTTTTGAAATTGGTTTCTTTCCCAGAATTTATGACTACTTTCAAGTTTTACATAGGGAGAAGAGAATAATTGTTACTACCCATCTTTGAAATAATTCAACTGTATTATAATTATTAATAATATTAAAAGCTCACTCTACATACTGAGCTATTATGTGACCACACTGATTTGCTCTTCAATCCCGCTTCACCTGGTCATTCTGAGTTACCATAAATGCTGATTTATTTCTCTCTTCTTGGTACAGAACTCCAGAACTGCTTGCCCAACACTTCTTTGTGTGCTTTTATTTATTTATTTATTTTTTTGCTTGCTTGAACAAATTATAACAATGACCTATCTAAACCTTATATATGAACTTAAAATTAATGACAAGTAAAATAACCACATGTCTTGACATTTACCTTTTGAAATCTGTAATGAATAAATGAAAAAAAATTGATGAATACAGCACACCCTTATCACGTCTCCCTCATTTGTAATTATAGCTACATTTCAATCACATTAACATTTTTCTTTGAACTTTTTAATGAACTCTTGTCTGTTCACAGACTGCTACTCTAATAAACCAAAATGTAATTATTGTTTTTGATACTTCTTATTGGTGCTTAAATTGCTAAAACTTTATTCCTTTCCATCTTCATTTGCTCCTTTATCTTTTCCATGTTTTCCCTAGCCTACTTGGAAGCTTTGGGTTTTTTCCCCCAATACAGGATGTTCCAGACCCATCCTGTTTACTGCTGCCCTTAACCATGAAATTAGCTATCTCGAAGAAAGAATTCTGGTTCAATTTAGTGGTGAATTATTCTAATTAATAAATGTAAAGGGAATGAAAGAAATAGGAAATCACCATAATAATAATGATCATTATATACAAAATCCATAGATGAATGGTAAAATTTGAGGATGTAAGTTTAAGGAAAAATGGGATATTAGAATTGTCTCAAAGTATCTCTCCCATGTATTTAATTAGAAAGATAAAACATTGCATACACTACTTTAACCAAATGATCACCAATAGTAAGACATCGGCATCAAGGTGATGCTCTAAGAAGGGCTAACACTTGGGTAGTATTCTCACCAAAACATGCATAACCATGATCATGCAATGAGGAAACTTAAGGTGAATCCAAAATGAAGAGCCTTTTGTAAAATAACTTACCCAATACTCCAAAAGTTTATAACCTTTCTATGTCATGAAAGGTAAGGGAACTAAATACAATGCCGGACTGTGGGTTCAATTTTTGGAACATTAGTGGAGAAAACTTGATGAAATCCAATTCAAGCCTGTCATCTGATTGGTAGTGTTACACCCAATGTTAGTGTCCTGGTTTTGATCATTGTACTATAGTAATGTAAAATGTTAACATTAGGCAAACTGAGAGAAGGGTGTATGAACACTCTGTAGTCTTCTTGCAATTCTTTTGTTAAGTCTAGAATTAAAAAAAAAAAAAACCCAAACCTCTTTCCAGCCAAAATGGGCATAATAGAGGCTGGATTTCTTTTCCTGCCTAAATAATAAAACACTAGAAAAAAATGAGAAATAATGTTTTTCAGACATTGGACACCAGACAACACAGTGATAATGCCTAACAAAGTGTAAACAGATGTGAGAAACACACCTGACCCAGCTTACTGCCGGGACAGCATTTCCGCATCTCAGCACAGGGAGAATGCAGGGGGAGCTTCATCATCTCCCTGAAGATGGAGCTGAAGAGTCCAGGGAGGCTTTAATGGCTAGAGCAATTATTAGGCTGTAATTTGCCAGGCAGATTATTGAGCTAAGTTCCTATCAGTGCATGAGGTCAAGGAGACCACCTGAAGCCAGCAGAAGAAATGGTAAGGAGCACACATAATCCTTGGAGCTCACACAGGGCCAGGAATCACTTGTGTCCCCATCAGCAAGAGTGGTAAATCTCATAATTTACAGGGCACTAGTAAGATTATGCAAAAAGCTATTGTCTCAGTAGAGAAGCAAGTTAGCACTGCACTAAGGATTTCTTGGTTTCACCTAGCAACCCTTAAAGCAAATCGTGAACAAACTTTCCAGGTAGCGTAAGTATATCCCAGAACAAAGCTTGCGTATATTTATAGAAATGCAAAAATACAAAGCACAGTGAAGGTAACTTTCATGATATCTCCTAGTAAATAAATTTTACCAGGAATGTAAATAAGGAGGAACGCATGATTATAATGAGAAAAATCAAGAAATGACAAAAATAAATTTTACATTTGATAATAGATGCTGACAGTACAACAACCATAACTTATTCTGCATTTCCAATAAGGAAGACAGGAGATTGACCATGTTAAGTACTAAAGTGGCAGATATTTAAAAGTCCCGAACAAATCTAGAGGTTAAATATAATGTCTGAGACTTTAAAATACAGTGGATGGGATTAATAGATTAAATACTGCAAAAGCAGACATTAGTAAACTTCAAGATATAACAATAAAAACTATACAAATTGAAACAGAGTGGAAAACAGACTGAGAAGATAAAAGTATCAAAGAGCTGTGGGACTTCAAGTAG